CACAGAACCAGGACCTGCTTTCCTTCACTGGTTTAAACATGTGAGCTCAGGGGCTGTAGTCACGACTTCGACCCTGGGTTCTATCTCCAGCACTGCAGAAAAAACAGTGAGTTTGGAGCCAGGTATAATGGCTTACCCCTATAATCCCAGCACTCTGGGAAGCTGAGGCAGGAAGATTTCAAATTTGAGCCCAGCCTAGGCAAGACCTTGTCTGAAAATGTTTTTAAAAAAGGGCTGGAGATCTAGCTTGGTTCGAAGGTCTTGGATTCAACCCCAGTACCACAAAAAACTTGGAAGCTTGGCCACCTGGACTGTGCCCTTCTCTAGCTAACTTTGATTCTTTTTGAAGTTGTATGTGGTCAAGTTGTATGTGGTCAAGTAGCACATGCCCATAACCCCAGCACTCAGGAGCCTGAGGCAGGAGTATTGCTGCAAGTTTGAGGCCAACCTGGGCTACACAGTTGAAGGCCACTTTGAACTAGATAGTCAGACTCTGTATCAAAAAAATAATCAAGGCTGGGTGTGGTGGCTCACGCCTGTAATCCCAGCACTCAGGCAGCTGAGGCAGAAAGGTGTGAGTTCAAGACCAGCCTGGGCTACAAAGTAAGTTCAAGGCCAGCCTGAACTGCATAGTAAGACCCTGTCTCAAATAAAGACCAAAAAAAGTCAACGCCTGGCTGGGTGTGGTGGCACACGCCCGTAATCCAAGTACTGAGGAGGCTGAAGCAGGAGAATTACAAGTTTGAGTACCATACTTCCTGGGACACTTAGCAGGATCTTGTCTCAGTAAAAGAGCTGAGAGTGTCAGTATGAAAGAGCCCTGGGTTCCAGTTCCACTGCTGCATGCGTCTATATTAATATATGTAAAATGGAATATAAAACATATTTGGGATTTAAAGTATGTTTGGGAGGAAGAGCGAGAATGTTTTTTGTTTGGGTTTTTTTTGGTGCTGGGAATCTAACTCACGACCTCAAACTTGCCTGGCAGGCACTGTTCTGCTGAGCTATATCCCCCGCTTGGTTTTGTTCTTTTTGAGACAGGGTCTCACTACGTAGCTCAGGCTGGCCTTTAACTCACTATGTAGCCCAGGCTGACCTCAGATTTACACTGATCCTCCTGCCTCAAACTCATGAGTGCTGGATTTATATGTGTGCTACCACACCTTGCTAAAGGCAGGGACTGTTAAGAGGAGTTCTGTTTAATCCAGTGGTTAGATGATCTCCAGCAAAGCTAGTATTTGGAGAGAGGCTTAAGGAGTGGGAATCACACAGATGAAGGGGTGGGGCCATCTTGGAAGAGAGAGCAGCTGTGGAAGGTGGAAATCTGCCTGGGGGGACTCAGGGCCCAGGCAGGGGGACAGTACGGTGGAGAGATGTGGTCAAGGTCCCTGGCCCCAGAGGCTGGCAGGGTTGTAGATGTCGCTGACCCCTCCCTCTGACCTCCTTTCTCAGCAGGGCTCTCTGAGCCAGGAAGTGGCCACTGTTCCCATTCCCGAGGTGCCTTCAGAGACCCGGGAGAGCCCTGGCCCCAGCCCTGGCCTGTGCAGGTAATGCCCCGCCCAGCTCCACTCCACACCCCTGACCTGACCCCCACCAACGCGTCCTCTCTCCGCAGCTCTCTGAGGAAGTCACCCCTGACCCTTGAGGATTTCAAGTTCCTGGCAGTGCTGGGCCGGGGTCACTTTGGAAAGGTGAGGGCACAGAGTTGGGGGCTGTAACTCAGGGCACCTGGGCCGCACTGACCATTGAGACCGCCTCTTCCCTCCACGGTCCAGGTGCTGCTCTCTGAATTCCGGGCCAGTGGGGAGCTCTTTGCTATCAAGGCTTTGAAGAAAGGGGACATTGTGGCCCGGGATGAGGTGGAAAGGTGAGGCTCTGCTCTTGCCTGTTCCAGGAGAGGAGGGACTAAGACGTCCTCCTGTGCCCTTATGTTGGAGATCTTTGCAGTTACCCAGCCATCCACTTGTTCCCTGACCACTAAGTGCTGCTATTGTCCCTATATGTGGATTGCACAGAGAGGTTGAGCAATTTCCCCAAGGTTACACAGCTAGGCAGCAGCTACAGGCGCAGGATTTGAATCTGGGGTCTTGGGCTCTAAGATCTGTGCTCCTAATGGCACCATTGCTCTGCTTCTGACTTGGTGCCAGGGCTCTGAGTTCCAATCCTGTCTCTGCCAGATATACTCGGAGATGGGGAAGCCACATCTCCCATTAGAACTCTAGTACATCTCATGTGGCAGTGCAGCCTGGCAGGGTGGCACATACCTGTAATCCCAGCTATTTGGGAGGCCAGAGCAGGGGGTGTCACGGGTTTAAGGCCAGCCTGGGCAACTCAGTGAGAGCCTGTCTCAAAAAAAAGGTTTGAACAGTAATTGATTCTTGTAGAGGCACTGCGATTTCCCCCAGGGTTCCCAGTGGCCTTTGTAATCAGGAACCCAACACAGAAAGGCTTAAATGAAGGAATTTATTGGCCTGGATCAGAAGAATACTGGGGAAGGGGCCAGGGATATAGCTCAGCGGCACAAGCACCTGCTTGGCAAACACAAAGTCCTGAGTTTGATTCCCAGTATCCAAAAAAAAAAGAAAAATTCTGGGGAGTCTGCTTCAGGCATGGCTGTATCCAGGTGTTTCCCTCACTGCATGGTCTCTCCTGGGTGGAGATGTTTACTTGGCAGCTTTCCTTGTTCCAGAACCATCCCAGTGGGAATGCTGGTATCAGCCACCACGACTAGGGCTGCCTATTCTTGAATTAATCCTGGCCAGAGATGGGTGCTGCATTGGCCTGGGGCCTGTGTCCACCCTGACAATTGCCCAGTGGAAAGTGGAGGCTTGCTAGTAGGATGATGGGTGGATTCTGGGTGCCCCATCAGCAGACAAGGCTACCAGGGTTCAGAAGTACCCCTCGCTCCAAGTCACACACAATGAAGGCCTTCAGCAGATACTGTGGGCTGCAGCCCTGAGGAGGCTGGGAGTCAGAGATACAGGAAACAGCTGTGACCCCTGCCCCCCTGCCCCAGCCTGATGTGTGAGAAGCGGATCCTGGCTGCGGTGACCAGCGCGGGGCACCCTTTCCTGGTGAACCTGTTCGGCTGCTTCCAGACGCCGGAGCACGTGTGCTTTGTGATGGAGTACTCAGCTGGCGGGGACCTCATGCTGCACATCCACAGTGACGTGTTCTCTGAGCCCCGTGCCATGTGAGCCCCCCACCAAGGCCCACCTGCCTCAGCCACCCAGAGCTTGCGGGGGCTGCATCCCTGATCCTCGCCTCTCTTTGCAGCTTCTACTCGGCCTGCGTCGTGCTGGGGCTGCAGTTCCTCCACGAACACAAGATTGTCTACAGGTGCGCTGTGCCCTTGGAGGGGGCACCGACTTGGAACTGCCAAACCCCCACCCCACGCTCATGCCTCCCCACCTCCTGATCCCCCCCAGGGACCTGAAGCTGGACAATTTGCTCCTGGACACTGAGGGCTATGTCAAGATCGCCGACTTTGGCCTCTGCAAGGAGGGTGAGGGCTGGGGTCTGGGGACCCTGTGGAGCAGGGGGAAGGCACCCGGGGTCCCCACTAGCCCCAGCCCTGTGACTGCCCATGGCCCTGCTGCCCCCAGGCATGGGCTATGGTGATCGGACCAGCACGTTCTGTGGGACCCCTGAGTTCCTGGCCCCCGAGGTGCTGACAGACACGTCCTACACTCGCGCTGTGGACTGGTGGGGGCTGGGCGTGCTGCTCTACGAGATGTTGGTGGGCGAGGTGAGTGTCCCCGGCCTTGGTTTCCCTGTCTTGAAGCTGGGACACTTACCATCTGTGTAAGCCTCTCCTGTGGGGAGGTACGACAAGTCCCAGGGGCTGTACTCACCCCAACTCTGCCCGTCCCCAGTCCCCGTTCCCGGGGGACGATGAGGAGGAGGTGTTCGACAGCATTGTCAACGACGAGGTTCGCTACCCCCGTTTTCTGTCCGCTGAGGCCATTGGCATCATGCGAAGGGTGAGGACTCCAGGGTGCAGGGAGTGGGTGGGTGGGCGGCTCGGCCAGAAGCCACAGGCCCTGACTCGGTTCCTCACCTGCAGCTGCTGCGCAGGAACCCCGAGCGGAGGTTGGGGTCCAGTGAGCGCGATGCGGAGGATGTGAAAAAGCAGCCCTTCTTCAGGGTGAGGCAGGTCCTCCCAGGTCCCCCAGACCTTTCTCCCGCCTAGTGCCAGTTCACTCCCCAAGCCCCAGTGGCTTCACCCTGTGGGCCAGCTCTTCAAACGTGGCACCACCCCAGGGGCCCCCATTTCCTCCCCTCCTTGCCCCCAACATGTGCCCCTCCTATAGCCAGTGCTTCAATCCGGACTGCACTGTCTGAGCTTGGCCCTCACTGACCATCGGCACCCCCACACAGACCCCAGGCTCGCCTGCCTCAGCCTCCCCTCCGCTCCTCTCCCCTCTGCAGACCCTGGGCTGGGACATGCTCCTGGCCCGCCGCCTGCCGCCGCCCTTTGTGCCCAAGCTCTCGGGGCGCACGGACATCAGCAACTTCGACGAGGAGTTTACCGGGGAGGCGCCCACGCTGAGCCTGCCGCGTGATGCGAGGCCCCTCTCTGCCGCCGAGCAGGCCGTTTTCCAGGACTTCGACTTCGTGCCCGGGGGCTGCTAGCACCCATCCTCCCCACCCAGAGTTCTTAGTTTTTAAAAAGGCCTTTGGGGTTCGCCCCGTCCTTGCATCCTCCGTCCCTTCTTGTGCTTGCAGTGCGGCTTCGGTGGGGCTCGCTTGAGGGAGAGCAGCCAGGGTTGTGCCGGGGCGTCGGGGCCCCCAGCACAGTGGGGCGAGGCGTGGGCGCCGGATGTCGGGCGAGCTCAGAGCCATGGTGAGCTGAATGGGGTCCATGTGGACTCAGAGCGCCGCCCTCCCCAGAGCACTGGTGCCCTCACCCGGAACGTAGTGAGTGGCCTCTGCGATCAGGGCGCCTCTAGGCAGCCACACTGGAGCCGCGGCCCTGATGGGACAGACCCACCCCAGGCTCTGGAAGTGGCTTTATTGCGTGCAGCGGGTCGGCCCTGCGGTCAGCAGTGGCCAAGGCCACTGTGCCGCGAGCTGCGCAGTGAGCTGGCTTCCCAAGCGCCTTTGGTGGGGCCCAGCTCGGTGGTGCCACCCTGGGCACCTGCCCTAGGGGGGAGCACGCGGAGCAGCTGGCGCAGCACAGCCTGGCGCAGCAGAATGTACACCCACGGGTCCAGGATCTGGTTCCAAGAGGCGAGACGCACGGCCAGGAAGAGTGGTCGCTGCAGGGAGCTGGGACTCCAGCCCCCAATGGCCAGCACCACCAGCACCTGTGGGGACAGCGGTGTCAGAGGGCTGCACGAGCCAGGCGGGGGACCCGCAGGGACTGAGCTCTCCTGAGGGGTGAGAAAGGATTCAATCAGGCAGGGCTGCTAGCAGAACCCAGGACAGAGGGGGAAGAGCAAGAGGGGACGGGGAGGAAAAAGTCTGAGGACTGGACCACCAGCAGGGGGAAAGGGGTGTGCGTGGGTGGGTGAGGTGTGCTACAGAGACCCCCAGGGAAGAGGAGAAGCATAGAGCTGGGAGGAAGGGCTTGCAGAAAGGCGCCCGAGTGGAGGCAGAGCCTCGGCTGGGGTAAGGAGAGGACCAGCGCCCTTGAGCTTGTAGAAGGGGGGGGCGGGTGGCCGTGCCCTCACCAGCAGGGGGCTCCAGCAGATGCAGGACACCACCATGATGCCCACGAGCTGGCCAACCATCTCCACGTCGTGCGCGCGTGTTCTACGAGCCGAACCGCCGCCCCGGGAGCTACGCAGGGTGGCAGAGGCCGAGGCGATGGATGAGGCCGACGAGGCGGAGGCTGAGCGCGGCGCCCAGCGCCGGCGGCTGTCGGGGCTCACGACCTCGGGGAGCCGTCGGGAGCGGTGGCGGCGCCAGCGTGCGCGCAACAGGGCCAGACCGCTGAGCGAGTTGCACACGAGTGCCGCGAGGAGTGCGGCCAGGCCGAGTCCGGCGAAGAGGCCCGCAAGCACCGCCTGGCGCCAGCCCCCGGGTGGTCCGAGACCAATGAAGCACCAGGTACCAGGGTACTGCAGCTCATAGCGCCCCACGTGCGCCAGCGGCAGCAGCGCCACGGCCAAGGCCACCGCAGCCAGCGCGCCCAGTGCCATGAGCGCACGGGCCACCGATACGCGCGCCGCGTGCAGCAGCGGGCGTGTGAGGCCCACGCAGCGCTCCACCGCCATTCCGCAGCCCAGCAGTAGCGGGCACAACCCGAAGAAGACCATGCAGCCCCCAAGGAAGTGGCAGGTCCCGCCGGCCGGCGCACGCCCCGCCGTGTACAGGCGCAGTACCAGCGCACCCGGGATCACGTGGCCCGCCAGGTCTGTGGCCAGTAGGCTGGCGACAAACAGCAGGAAGGTGGCGGCAGAGCGGCGGCGCCGCAGCCGGCCTGCGGCCTGTGCCAGCAACACCAGGGCCAGCACGTTGGACACGGCGCCCAGAGTCATGGAGAAGATGGGTAGCGCTGGCGACGCGCTGGGACCACCCGATGGCGCCGACGCGTTGGGGACCCCGGGCGCCTCACACGTGCTCGCCTCGCCGGGCAGGCTTGAGTTCAAAGGCCCGCAGAGGCTCATGTCAGGTGCCGGGAGGGCTGGGTAGGAGAGAGGAGGGCTCGGTGAGGCCGGCTGGGGACTCGGTGCCGCCCCGTTCCCAGGTCATGAGGCTGTCAGGCCCCCGTTCCGTCGTGACTCCGAATGACCTGGGACCCCCGCAGCCTCTCCCTGTGCTGCCTCTACCCGCACTGTCCCGAGTACCCGCAACTTCAGCCCCCGCAGCCGCAGCTTTCAGCATCTCAGCTCTGGGCCTCACGGGCCCAGCTGCCCCTGCTTCCCGCTCTTACCCAAGGGAATTTCTGGCTCACGCTGACCCTGTGTGAAGATGGGCCCCCAGCCTCTGACTGCGCCTGCTCTTCCCTGTAGCCGTGTCCTTCCCTGCAGTGCTAGCCTCAGCGCCCCTAGCTCTACTGCACTGTCACGAGCACCTCTCTCCCCGTGGCCAGGGCCTGTCCCCAGGACCCACCTCTACCTGCCGTGTCCGTGTCTGTCCTCACAGCCCCACCTGTCTCTCACAGTCACGGCCCTGTGGCCACATCACTGCATCCTATTGTCCCCAGCGGTCCCATTTCCGATTTCCATGGCAGTCTCTGTCCCCAAAACCACACCTCTGTGCCTTACGCAGCACAGCTGCAGTCCTGCCACCCCATTCTCCTGTCCTAGAGGCTCAGGCAGCCCAGGACCACACACCCACACCCACACCCCTCTGCCGTCAGGCAGTGAGGGCAGACAGGCAAACTCCCCCAGGGCCAGATGAAAAGGGAGGATGGAGAGACAGGAAGATGGGCAGGAACGGACTGGGGAGTGCGAGCCAAGCAGGACCGGACCAAGGTAGCAGTGGTCCCATCCCCTGTGCCCTCTCGTACCCTCCACCCTTCCCTCTTACCTGGTGCTGCCTGGGACACCGGGCCCCCATGGCCCCCATGCGTCAGCGCCCACCGCGCCCGGCTCTGGCCAGGCTGTTCCTGCCCGCCCTCTTCCTGGGGCAGCTCTCAGCTCCCGCCTCCACCGCGCCCTGCTGGCCTTCGGGGCTGCTCCACTCTGCGCACGCCCACTGGGGGCCTCCAGGGACAGAGACCCCCTCTCTGCGCTCCTGACTCTGGGAAGGGGCCACTCGGGGCCCCGGCTGCCCTCCTTCTCCAAGGGAGGCTCCTGGGAGTTGGCTTGGCCCCTGGGACCCCCTCCTCCTGGCGGGGCGGGGGCAGCCCTCCCCAGGGCTCGGGCTTCTTGCCCGCCTCATTAATAAAGCGGATAAAATCTAAACACTGGAAAATATGAGCATCGCCCAGGGCGGGCTGGGGAGGCTGCAGGGGGTGGTGCTGCCCCCAGCAGGGCTTTGGGGCTGGGGGGCCATTCGCACAGGGGCTGGGGGACAGCGCCACCCCCTGAGCCTTTGTGGGTGTCGAGATGAGTGACAGTGGCAGTTTGGGGAGGTCCAGCCTGGCTGCGACCTGCCCAGTCTTTACACCAGGGCCCAAGCCCAGACCACACCCAAAGGAGGAGGCAAGGGCCCCAGGGAGCTGGGAGGTCTAGGGACCAGGCCAGTGCCGCATCCTTCCCCGGTGTGTTGAACAACATGTCTGACATGCAGGCCAAGACATCTTCACACCCTGCACCCCAACACACAGCCACGCCTCACCTCCAGCCCTGAAAAACAGGGTCATAGCCTTGGGGGACATCCATGCAGCCTCACACCCCAAGAGCTAGCAATGGCCACACCTGCCCCTAAGATACCATTGTTGTACCCAGGAACTCACTGAGTTGCTTTCTTTTATTATTATTTTTGGTACCGGGAATAGATCTCAGGACCTCGCACTTGCCAGGCAGGTGCTTGTGCCGCTGAGCTACATCCCTAGCCCTGAGCTGCTTTCATTACCCAGCATGAAGACCATCCTGGGTGGCTGTGACACCAGCCACTTCCCTTGACACCCTGAAATGCAGCCCTCCAGAATGACCCTCATTGCACCCTCAAGTGCTGGGTGATACAGGGTCACCTTTGAGCCCTACTGTCAAACCTCCAGGTCAGGGGTACACTTGGTCCACCCCAGACATAGGAGTGCTACTACTGCCCCCCAGACCTGGCCACACCCCAGTACCTACGGCACCAAGGCTCAGAATCTAAGACTAGACAGCTCACCCAGAACGCTGGACACCCTGAGACCTGGCCAGTTACACTCCTCCCTCCAAAATAGCAACACCCTGAGAAATGGAAACTGTCAGACTCCACAGCTCCAGATGCCACAAGCTGCACCCTGGAACACAGATGGTGGTCCCCACTCACCCATACCCGTCACCACCCTCACTTGACTTGTTCACCAGCCAACACCTGACAGACACTTGTCCTGCTCACAGCCACACCCCTAGCACCAGAGCTGTCCCCCAGCATACACTCAGCACCCCCACATGCCTTGGATGCCCCCAGTCATCAACTGTGGCTCCCACCCCACCCATGAACACAGGCCTGGGCTCGGACACACCCCCACCCAGCAGTCCCATGCAACTGGGGTGCCAGCTGGACTGGACTTCCCCGGCCAACAGCTCAACTGGCCCCCAAACATTCCTGCCCCGGCCCCATCCTCTCCCTTCCCTGCAGGTCTGGCCCGAGTCCCACCCTCCCTGTCTTTGATCCCTCAATCCCAGGATGAAGCCGGCTGTCAAAACAAGGCCGGGTTTATGTCCCACGTGAAGCACTGCACCATTGATGGCTGTGGACCTTGAAAGTCCAGCATTGGCTGGGGGCTCGAGGCTGGGACTGACACATGCCCCCAGGCTGGACTGACAAAGGTGCAGGGCAGGGGGCTGGTGGGCAGGCTGGACGGAAAGGGTGTAGGATTTGAACCATCCATCACCAGGAATCTCACGTTGCCTGGAAGCCTCGTGGCCGGCAGCCAGGAGCCGTGTCGGGAGGGCGGTGGGAGAGGGTGGTGGCCCGGGGCCAGCTCTTAATTCAATTTGGAGCTCGAGGAAGATAGATTTCAGCTGCTGCGTTCTTTCCCAGCCCCAGCCCACCCCGCACCCCACATGCCCAGCCACACAGGTCCCAATCCAGATAGCTCCTTTATGTTCAAGACAGAAATTCAGATACAAAAGCCCCTGCCATCGCTGCCTCTGCCTCCCTCCCTCCCTGGGGCCTGGAGGGTGAGACAACAGGGTTGGGGGATGGTTGGGGGGTTCACAGCAAACTCTTCCCCAACATGGAGGTAACAGACTCCAAGTCAGGGGCTCCTCTTAGGAGGGGGCATGGGAGGGGGTTATTGCATTTGCTGAGGGGGACCCCACCTGCATTCCCTGTGTTAGGAAACCCCAAACAGAACCTAGGCCCTAGGGAGATGCAGGAGCCACTTGGCAGCTGACAGTGGAACGTGGCGGGGGGGGGCCGCCCAGTGTGGGGCCCTCCCCAGGCTCCTGATCCAGCTGAGGTAGGGGGCGAGGGAACCCAGCCAGTCTGGGATCCGGGAAGACCGTGGTACCGACTGGAGCAGGCAGGGCTGGGGTCCCCTGCTGCTGCTGCTGCTGCTGCTGCTGCACACCACCCTCTGACCACTGAGCTCCATCTACGAGCTCCAGCTGGACATGCAGGGTCCCGGCCTGGTGTCCCCTCTGGGACCTCCAGCAGGCTGGCCCTGGTCACTGAGAGGTCCAGTGGGTTCCTAGTAGCGGCCAACCTTGGCGTCCCCAATAGCACCCCAGACGTCAAAGACGAACTCGTCCGGGAAGGCAAAGTCACCAAGCTGTTCATCGAGGGCCTCGGCCAGCTCGTCTGGGTTTCTTTTGTCCTTCCCCAGCTCAACCATGGTGGCTGCTACACCGGCAGGGGACAAAAGGGAAACAGGGTAAGAGGGCCTAGGCCACCCCCAGCCCCCATTACCCCAGCCCCAGGCGCCCACTTACCCAGTTCGGTGTCTCTGATCCCCATGTAGCTCTCCAGCAAGTCGTCCACCTTCTCAATGGCCTTCTCCTCAAAGGCTGAGGGCTGATGCAGGGAAGGGATGGGCACATCACAGTCATCTAACGGCCACCGTCCTTCCTAAGTGCCTTTTCTTTTTGGTTGCAGTACTGGGGATCACATGAACCCAGGGGCATTCTACCTCTCAGCTCCATCTTGGCCTTTTATATTTTATTCTGAAATGGTCTCACTAAGTTCAGGCTGGCCTTGAATTTGCAATCTTGCCTCCATCTTCCCGGTAGCTGGCATTACAAGTGTGTACCGGTGTGCCAGCCTATGCATCCTTATTTATCTGCCCTTCTCCCAGCTTCACACAGATTTCCATCCGCATGTAATCTTCATGGCCACCCAGAGAGGAAGGTATTTGGTATTATGACTCCATTTTACAAATGGGGAAACTGAGGCCTACTTGCCCAAGAAAGGTCTTGGAGGTGGCAAGAGTGGACTGAATACAGGTAGCTGCTCAGCTAACAGGTCAGGCAGCCCCTATGAAAGTGCAGGGGAAAAAAAAAAAGGTGCAGGGAGCCAGGCGGGCATGGTGGCGCACACCTGTAATCCCAGCACTCGGGAGGCTGAGGCAGGAGGATCTTTGTGAGTTTAAGACCAGCCTGGGCTACAAAGTGAGCTCAAGGCCGGCCTGAACTGCATAGCAAGACCCTGTCTCAAAAAGACAAAAAAAAAAAAAAGAAAAGAAAAAGAAAAGAAAGTGCAGGGGAGGGGGCGCTGGCTTCCTATGGGGACACTCACCAGTTCCTCCACTGTAGCGGGGCCCCGTGATCGCAGCCGGAGGGTCCCTCGGCCAGTGCCCAGTTGTAGGCCGGAGCCGGGGCGGCTGCCCCCTGAACGCTGGCTGATCATGTCTGTAGGAGGCAGGGTGAAAGGCAGCTCAGCTGAAGCCCTGGTCAGGTACCCAGGTACCTAGCTTTGCACAGCACCCCCCAACCTTCAAGCTTCTCCAGATGCCTGTAGCCTGAGGGGTGGATGCCAGGAGAGCAGGACGATGCAAGAGGGGCAGCTGGGGCAGGCCTGGGAAAGGCAGGGGAGGACTGGAGGAGGGAAAGGGCCCCGGCTCAGGCCCAGGCCCAGGTCCTTCAGTCTGCGCCCCTGGCTGGGGGTACAGCTGAGGGCCACAGACCTGCTCTACCTGCCCAGGGAAGAGCTTTGAGTCCCCTGCCCCCACCCCAGGGCCTGGGGCCCATTCCTGGGAGTCAGTGAAGCCAGATGGCAAAGTGGGGGGCTGGCGCAGGGCAGCCAAGCCTAGCCTCTCAGAGCTGGGGGGCTGGCTAGGGTTGGGGGCGCTTGGCTGGGCTAATGGCTCCTGGGAGGTGGGTGTGGGGCAACTTCCTCCTTGTCCCTGCAAGCAGGGCAGACAGCCAGCACCGCTTCCAGGCCAGGGCGGAGCTGCACCGCCCCGCCCCCCCGTCCCTGCTTTCTAAGGCGCTCGTCAGGCTTGGGTGCCACCTGCTGGTGGCTCTGGGCCCTGCAGCCTGGACTGGGGTGCCAAAGCTGGGCCACCCGCATTCTCCACCTGGTGCTCACCAAAGGCCTTGCGAGGCTCTGTGAGCTTCAGCGTGAAGGTGCGGCCGCGGGGCAGCTCCTTGAGCAGCCGGGCCACCTCGTAGTGGCGGCAGCCCAGCAGACTCTGGCCATTGATGGCCTCGATCATGTCACCCACACTGACGAGCTGGATGTGGTCGATCACACTGCCCTCCTTGATGCGCTGCGCAAGGGGAAAGGGGCGTGAGCCCGGGGTCCCTCCCACCACACCGCCCGCCTGGGCCGGGACCGTGGCGGACCTTGATGAAGGCGTAGCCTGCGCCGTTGTCAGTGATGGTCAGGCCCAGCGCGTCCTCTGACTTGAACACCTCCACCTCCTTGCGCTGCCCCTTGACGTGGGCGAAGATGAAGTCCTCCAGCCCGATCTGGCCGCCCAGCAGCTTGTCCATGTCCACTTTGTGGGTGTTGAGTGTGCAGAACATCACCTGCGGGGGGCACACACCCCTCTGTCCGTGCCCCTCTGGGTCCCTGCGCTAACTGCCCCGGACGAGAGGTGGGGAGCGGCTGGGACCGGGAATCCCGCCCTGCCTCAGCATCAGGGCTGTTTCCAGGCCACGAAGCCAATTGGGGGGCCGCTGGGGAGATGCCTGTGGGGTGCGTGAGGGGGCTCAGACCCCACCCAGCCAGTCCCCATGAGCTTGCTCCTTGTCCGGCTGTCTTTGGACCCCATGGGCAGGGCTGGAGCGAGGCACGCCCCCATCCGACTTCCTGCTACGGGGCTTCCGTCCCTCAGTTGCTGGGGTGCAGACCTCCAGGGCACCCTGGAATAGCCGTCAGTTCTCTGGAAACTACTGGGGTTGGGCCCTCCGGGGGCTCATCTTGTAGATATTGCTATCAGCACCCCCCACCTGCGCCATGCGGGTCTCCAGGCTCCTCCCCGCTCACCTCGGCGGGCGGCAGGCGGAAGGCCTCCGCGATGCGCCCATACAGCTCCTTCACGTTGCTGAAGCCCTCGATGCGGCCCGTGGGGCTGCCGTGCGCCAGCTGCGTGTGGAACACCAGACGCGGGCGCAGCGCGGGGGGCGGGGGCGGTAGTCCAGCCTGGGGGAGCCCCGCGCCCACCCCGCCCAGTGGCCCCTGCTCGCCGCCGAGCCCGCCGCGCCCTGCCTCGGCCTCTTCATTCTCCACCAGCGGCGGCGCCTTCTTCCGCCGCCCCAGTCCCAGCGGCATCAGCTGAGGCGACAAGCGGGGCGACGCCCCGGGACCTGCGGGGAAAGTAGCAGGAGGATCGTTGCGAGTTCCAGGCCAACCTCGGGTAACAAGGAGTTCACTGCAAGCCCGGACTACAGGGAGAGATCTTGTCTCAAAATTCAAAAAGCAAGCGCCAGGCGAGGGTGTTGGCTCCCAGCACTCCTTCGAGACCAACCCGGGCTACATAAGCGAGTTCAAGACCAGCCTGCACTACATAGTGAGGTCCTGTCTCAAAAAATAAAAATAATAAATAAATAAATAAAAAGGAGGGAAGCTGGGATGCAGCTCAGTTTAAAGGCCTTGGGATCATTCCCCAGGACCAAAGAAAAGAAGAGTATTTGCACAGAACCTATGCCCTATGCAGTATACTTCATTTTTATTTATTTACATTTTATTTTTACAGTGCTGGGGACAGGACCCAACTCTGCCCTGAGCACCCCCGCCCCTCTGTGTACTTTAATCAACTCTGGGTGCCATAGAAATCTTACAGAGTAAATGCAGGTGACAGGTGTGATGTCCTATTGTTTGGGGGAATAATGACTTAAGTCTGAATGTGTTCTGTAAGGCAATTTTTTCCCCAAATATTTTCAATTCATTGTTGAATCTGTGGATGTGAGGTTGGTATTAGAGCACCAGCACTGATGCTGTTATTGGGGATGGAACCCAGGGCCTCGTGCCTGCTACGCAAATTCTCTACTACTGGGGTACATCCCTAGCTCTTTTTTTTTTTTTTTTTTCCTGAGACCGTATCTAACTATCTAGTCCAGGATGGCCTCAAACTCAGGGATCCGACTGCCTCAGCCTCCCAGTGGCAGGGATTACAGGTATGCGCCACCACACCTGGCCATTCAGGCCCACTTAACAGGTAAGAAATGGAGGCTGAAAGCAGTGCGGCTTCCTTTTATTTTTCTATCAGTTACAGTCATTAATGCCATGTGCTGAAACTTCTGAGTCCAACTTCAAAACCGTCAGGTGGACAGCCCTCACCTCCTAGGCTGGGGCAGGTGGGTGAACAGCTCTGCCTCATGAACTGCTGGTGGAGGTGACATGCGGCACCTCCAGGCTGAAGCACTCGATTCCTAGATAAGGACACCTGAAGCGCTGTGGATCAGCCAGCCACAGCTGACAGGGTAGTGACTCTACCAGGCCAGGACCGAGTGACCACAACACATGGAACCTCTTAGCCAGGGGTGGTGACATACACCTGTGATCCCAGCATTTAAGGAGGCTGAGGCAGAAGGATCACCAGTTCAAGTCCCACCCAGGCAACTTAGTGAGATCTTGTCTCAAAATAAAAATAGAAAGGGCTGGGAATGCATGTAGTAGTAGTGAGCCTGGGTTTGACCCACAGTACCGCAAAAACAAATAAAAGAGAATCTTTGCTGAGTTTCCATGGCTGTGTAGCAAGAGCCAAAAATAAACTTTGGTTGATTCAGAAACTAAGATACGGGGATGTTCATTACTGCAGCAAAACCTAACAGATACATAGTCACGTGCTGTGTAAGCGTATCAGCACCTAGGGCTGGGTGCAGCTCAGTGTTAAGTGCTTGTCTAGCCTGTGTGAAGTCCTGGCACCACAAGCAACAAAAAGAACCTATCAGAAATCTTCTGTTTTGTTTTGTTTTTGGCTTTTCTCCAGTACAGGGAACCGAACTCAAGACCTTGCGCTTGCCAGGCAGGCGCTTTGCCGCTGAGCTAAATCCCCAGCCCCCAAAAAGAACCTATCACCCACTGACATCACAGTTGTCGCAGTTTGACTAAGAACACTGCATGTTTACAGAACAAGAGCTCCCCCATTGATGTAATGATGTAACATATCCCATCATTAGGTAGCACATGACTGTATTTCCTTTCTTTGTTCTCCCTGTTTCTTTATGTCTCTCTCTTTCTCCCTCCCTCTCTTCAAGCAAACATGGGGGCGAGGTTGTTACTATATTCCACAATCTGGTTTTTTTTTTGTTGTTGTTTTTTGTTTTGTTTTGAGGCCAGGGTCTTACTATGTAGCCTAGGCTGGCCTCAAACTTATGGTGATCTTCCTGCCTCAGCCTCCCATGTGCTGGGATTACAGGTGTATAATATGGCTCCACACACTGTTTTAATAATATAGCTCAGTGGCACAGCTTCTGCCTGGCAAGTACAAGGTCCTGAGTTCAGTTCTCAGTACAAAAAAAAAAAAAAAGAGCCATAAAAAAGATCCCTGGCCAGAACACCAAGTGCAGTTACACAGGCTGGGCACTGCACACAACCAGTAGACCAAGGTGACAAAGAACTGAATGCTATCTTGTGCTCCGCCTGCCGACTTCCATTCCCTGGCATGTCAATGTGTCCGAAGGAGGAAGGGTATCTGTGCTAGCTAGAGCTGTGACCATACTCTCTGGAAATATCCAGTCCCAAGACAGAGACCAACAGTAAGCCAGCAAATGTATAAATTTCTAATGTCATTTCTACTAGTTCTGTGAGGATAAGAAAACAAGACTAGCTGGGTGTGGTGGTGCGTGCCTGTCATCCAAGCGCACAGAATGCACTACCAAGGCAGGAGGATAGCTCTGAGTTTGAGGCCAGCCTGCACTACAGAGTGAGACCCTGTTTCAAAAAAAAAAAAAAAAAAAAAAAATTGTAAGTCTAGTTCTACAGAATGGTCAGGGACAGCTCTCTGGTCTCAGAGACCTATGGGACAAGAGAAAGAATCCATGCAGGGATATAGGGCAACAAGGATCCTGGCAGCCGAATAGTCAGTGCAAATGCCCTGTGGTGGGGACTTAATGAGGAGCAATGAGGAAGCCCTGTGGGATGGGGAGAGAAATAGAGGGAGTGAAGCGTTCTGCACCTTGGCTTTTACCCGCTAGAAGATGGGAGCCATGGAGAGTTCTGCACTATGCACAGCTGTGTCCTGACTCAGCTCCTGGATCAAAAGATTACTATGTTTTTTTTGTTTTTTTTTTCTGTTTTAATTGAATAAAGAGTCTCACTGCGTAGTCCAGGCTGGCCTCAAACTCTAGGCAATCTTCCTGCCTCTGTCTCCCAAGTGTTGGAATGACAGGTGTGTGCCACCACAGATGGAATTATTAACATGTTGTCGGGCTGGGGATTTAGCTCAGCGGCACAGCACCTGCCTGGCAAGCGCAAGATTGTGAGTTCAATTCCCAGTACAGGGAAAAAAACAAAAAACTTGTTGTCCTGTGCAAAAGGCACTTCCAGTATGCTCTCGTCAGACCTCTTCGGGGGCATCCTGGATTCCACAGAGCCCAGGGGGGCCGCACCAACCCAAGTGCCCACCTGTGAACCCTTTCATCCATTCACTGACCCGCTCACCTGGGGTGTGTGCTGGCTACTCCGGGGCTCGGGCCTGTCCTCTTGCCACGCTTCCAGTCCAGACAGCAGTTGAGAAATCCTGTGAAATATGATCCGTGTCCCCCTGTCCTCTGCTCAGCCATGCAGTGTGCTTGTGCCCTCGGAGTAAACGCCCTGAACCATCCATCCGTCCCGCCTTTCAGTCACCAAGTCCTAGACGTCCAGTTCCCTGGACCCCAGCTGCCCGTGTCACCTCCACCCTGACCCAGCCCTGCTTCAGCCAGTCCTGCATCCTCTATGGTGAGCAAGGGGTGATCCGTGCAGATCTGAACCCCAGCCTGGTCCCTTACTCACCGCGTGGCTGTGGGCAGCAGGGTTCACTTCATGGGCCTCAGCGTCCTCATCTGCAAAACGGGCAGAGTCTCTGTTGCTCAGGCTGCTCACGGGAACCCAGACAGACTGCAGGGCTGGAGACCCACTCACCACTTAGGGGCCACAGTTATTATTCTCACGTTCACTGCCACCTCTGAAGTGCTGCAGAGGGCACCCAGGGCACACACTAGCAAGCACTGTGCCACTGAGCTGCCCTCCAGCCCGTGGCTGTCATTATTATTTTTGTTTGTTTTTGTAGTACTAGGATGGAACAAACCCAGGGCTTTTGCATTTAGCTACACCCCTGAGCCCCCTTTTAAAGATTTTTATATTTTGAGACGGAGTTTCACTAAATTACTCAGGGTATGCCGCTGCACACCTCTTTTTGTTCTCTTTTTTGAGAAAGGGTCTCACTATGTAGTTTGGGCCTTAAACTCATTATGTAGCCCACACTGGCCTCAAACTCAAAGCAATCCTTCAGCCTCAGCCTCCCCAGTGCTGAAATAACAAGCATGTGCCACCATGCCCAGCTGCCTGGCTCTCTCACTACTGTTAGATCCATCCCGGGTGTCTCCCGGCCCTACCCCGTCCCATCTAGGACCATTCCACTCCTGTCTGCCTGCCAAGGCCTGTTCCAGGCCACTTCCTCTGGGCAGCCTTTCTGGCTTGCCCCAGCCTGTGGGAAAGGCTCTATGCACCAGGCAGCTCAGGCCCATGAACTTAATTACACACTGTCCTGACAGAACTCCTGTCTTCCAGCCTCCAGGCTGTTATTTAACTGTGTGTCTCTATTTTAAAATGTAAACCAGATGACATTGCTCTTCTGCCTCAAATCTTACAACAGGATCCACCTTACAGGAGAAAAATTCCAACCCAGCACCCGCTTACTATGACCCACACATTTGTACATAATCGCCACCCTGGCTTCCCTTCCAGTCCCACCAGTGATCCCAAGATCCATCCAGCCTGCGGAGCTCAGTTGGGCTAGCTCCTTTATGTCATTCAGGCCTGGACGCCCTAAGCCACCCTCTTCAGGAGTACCCCTGGTCTACAGCTACAGCGTACGGTGCCACCCCTCATATACTATTCATGGTGCAATCTGAAATTATCTCCTTTTTTTTTTTTTTCCGGTACCGGGAATCAAACTCATGACCTTGTGCTTGCCAGGCAGGTGCTGTGCCGCTGAGCTAAATCCCCAGCCCCTGAAATTATCTCCTTTATGTTTTCCTTGTTTGTTCCCTGTCGTCTCCCTCCGCCCCATAAAATGTTAACTCCCCCAATGCAGGGATTTTTTTCCCCTTTTGGAGACAGGGTCTTACTTTGTAGTCCGGACTGGCCTTGAACTCACTATGTAGTCCAGACTGATGTCAAACTTTCAGGGATCCTCCTCACTTAGATTCCCGAGTACTGGGATTATAGGCGGGCAGCACCACATCCAGCTCAAAACAGGGATTTCTGCCTTTTTCCCTATTATATGCTTGGTACCAAATACAGTGCCTGACACGTAGTAGGTGCTCAATAAATGTCTGTTGACGCTGGGGACATCGCTTAGTGGTAGAGCACCTGTCTAGCTTGCAGGAAGCTTTGGGTTCCCTTCCCACCGCAGCAGAACAAGCGAGCTGTGGGATGAATGAGTGCATCTTATATCCTCAAGCTGCTCTTTGACCCTTCATCCTTGCCTCCCCACTCTGCCTGCTCAGGAATAGACAGGAGTTTGCCTGCACCTAACGGACTAGGTGAGACGCCAGCATCTACAGCGTCTCGTTCCTAGGAAAGGGCTGACTCTTAGCAACCCCCAGGGAGGAGCAGGAAGTAGGGACGGGAGTTTCTGGGAGCTCGATGAGGCTGGGCAGGTGGACACCACACCCAGCATGGTACTGCTTTGGCGAGAAGACGGGCAGGAGGCGTCTGATTCACCCTCGACAAACCGGCTTGGCCCGAGTTTCCAGGGAGAACGCCCAAAGCCTTCCGGGCCCCGCCGACCTGAGACCCCCACACCCTGGCTCCCTGCCCACTCTGCCCACAGATGCCACTCGCCTCTCACGACCCAGGCCTTCGGCCGCGCCTCTCAGCTCAGGGGAGAAGGGACAGGGCAACTTCTGGTTAGTGTGACCGGTGCCTGGTGACCTCCAGGTGGGGAGTAGGTAAATGCCAAGAGGTGTGGCCCAGATGTGGGTGGGCCGGCGGGGAGGAGCGCCGGCCCTGCAAGACACCTGCGCCCAGGAAAGGCGTCTGATCTAGTGGTGGAGACTTCAGTTCGGGTCCTTGAGGCAGGTTCAAGTCCCACGTCCGGAACTTTGGCGCTGTGTGACCTTGGGCTAGTCACTGCTCCCTTTCTGGGCTCGCTGCCTTCCTCGAGGAGAGGTTAGCGGCCTCTTCCTGTGCGGTGTTTTGATCCACAGACCCGCACGGTAAATGCCTTACAAGAAAGCTCCGCGGTCCTCACCTCAGACCCCAGCGATCGCCGCTCTCCCCGCGGGGGATGGCGTTTAGCCGGGAGAGGGCTCGTGCATCCCAGCGCGCAGCCTGGAGTTCCAGCTGCGGCCCACCTCGCACGATCGGGCAATCTTCGAGGTCCGAACCTCAGGAGTGCATACCGGGCCTCCCCGGGCCGTCCCTTCCCGGGCTGGGAACACTCACCTGAGTCGCCGCTGCCGGCCTGAGCGCGCCCCGCTTGGTCCTCCGCAAACTCCGGACCGGGCCTCTCCCGCAGCGGCGGCTAGGGGGCGGGGCCAGCTCATAGCAAGGGCCAATCAGTGGCGACCACCCATAGCTTGCTACCAATCGGCGCCTTCCCGCTTTGGGCGGAGCCGACGGAAACATTCCAGAGGGATCGCTCCGCCACGCCCGGCTCTCCCACACTCCCCTCCCCTCGGCTCAGTGGACCATCCCGCCCAGCCTAGGCCGGGGCGGGTTGTACCACCGTGAAGCTGCGGAGGGGGGCTCTGCGGCGGGGCCCGGACCAATCGCACGGGAGGAAGCAAGCTAGCAGCCAATGGGAAGCTGGGACCCCCAGACCACGTGCTGCTGGCTGAGTGTCTGTCTGGTGTGCCCTGGTGTTAAGGGCGGAGGATTGGCGGTAGGAGTCAGGTGACCCGAGCCTAGTTTCGGGCAGAAGACCTGAGCTCTCAGTGTCCAGAAAAGCAGACCCTTTTGGAAGTCCCTGGGTCCCCGAACAGCTTTCCCGCCTGGCTTCCTCTGTCCCAGCCCGGCCTTGCTCGGGGAGGATAGAAAGATGCATTCATCGAGATGAATAGGGAGGGTCCTGGGTGTCCTTGCTGCCTGCAAGGGACAATGGACAAAAGCATTCATTTAGGCATTAGTTCATTCATTCATTCACTCATCAGCTAATTAATTCTCCCTATGCGCCGTGCCAGGCTCCACACACGGATCGATGAAAAGCTGCGTGCACGGCCTGAGGACCAAAGAAGAAATTACAACGCACTGTAGGATAGGGCAGTGTGGGGAGCTAGCCAAGCAGCGCGAAAAGCACAATGGTTTTGGTTTTAGTTTTTTTTTTTTTTTTTTTTGAGACAGGGTCTCGCTATGTAGCTCAGGCTGTCTTCAAATTTGTGGCGATCCTCTTGCCTCAGCCTCCCGGGTGCTGGAATGACAAGCTGGAATGGTAAGCATGCACCACCACGCCTCGAAAAAAGATACAATGGAATGAGAGAGAAGGGCGTTAGGTTATATTCGCGTTTGGTTAGTTGAGCACCTACTATACCTACTATGTGCTCCATCATCGGCAGTAACCAACCAGCGTCCGAGGACAGAGGTTGAGCCTCCTGTGCCAGTCATTGTGCCCACCCTCTCCCCCTCTGCCCCTACACTAGCATAGAGTAGCATGGATGGGCCAGGTAGAGTTCTCCAGCTCTCAGGGAAGCCCAGGTCCGGGAAAGAAAAACACAAACACATCTGAAACAGGTGAGGACTCTCAGTTCCCAAAACAGGCGAGATTTTCTCCTGGTTTACGGTTGACCACTCAGCTTTTGGGGCTGAGAGCGCAGTGTGTGCTGGGAATTGTAGTTCTTGGAGAGCCCTAGTTAGAGTCTTCCACCCTGCGCGAGCTTCCTGGACCGACTAGGTCTTGGAAGTCCCCAGGGAGAGTTGTGGCGCGCTCTAGCCTCCCCACGGCCTGCAGTAGGGCAAAGTGAAAGAGGAGCCAGGGCCTTGGGCTGAGCCGCTGAAGGCCGCCTGGCTGGCCCCACCCAGCTCGTAAACACAGATCCTGCCAGGCTGGGCAGCAGAAGCAGCTATTGTCCCTCCCTTCCTGCTCTGTTGACCTTTGCCACCCCCACTGAGGGGGCAGTGCCCACTACCCTGCTGGACCCTGCCGTGGGCACTGCCTTCCTGCACCCCTGGAAAGAGAAGTGTGTGGGGATGAGGACAGCCCGACGCAGGCTGCGGAGTCCTGAGTCCGAACCCACCTGCCTCCTCCTGCTGGCTGCTAAGGAAGAGCCAGAGAGAGGGTCGTGAGATTGCCCAGGGGTACAGAGCAGCACTGGGACCTACCAACCTTATCGCTCACCAGGCACTCCTGAAAACAGACTAGGAGGCCCAGCTCGGGAGGAGTGTGGAGCCCAGTGCTACTTGTGAAGCCAGGCATGGTGGTGCGCACCTACAGTCCCAGCACTTGGGAGGCTGGGACAGGAGGATCACCATGAGTAGTTTGCCGGCAGCCTGGGCTACATAGTTCAAGTCTAGCCTGAACTACATTGTGAGACCCTGTCTCAAAAAAAAAAAAAAAAAAAATCTGTTCTGGAATGCTAACTACTACATGAAGAAGGACAGGCTGAATTAGAAAAATCACCAGTTTGCAACCATTAGAGGAATAATTGATTCGAGGCAAGGCTTATCACTGGGGAAGTGGATATTCACAGTCTCAAAGGAGTAGCTCACAGATGGCATTTTTAATTAGAACAGGGGAAAGGTAGTTTTTACAGATGTTCCTGACTTGCAGTGGTTCCATTTCCATTTTCCAATGTTATGATGGTACCAAAGGGAGAATGGATTGTGTAGAAAAGGACCGGCATCATCTTAACCAGGTGATCAAAATTAGCATTGGACTGGGCTTGGTGGCACACACCAATAATCATTCAGGAGGCTGAGGCAGGAGAATCACTTTGAGTTTGAGGTCAGCCTGAGCTACATAACGAGGGCCTGTCTTCAAACAAAACAAAAAAGTGAACATTGGTACTTTATTATTTTTTTTTATTTTAAAGAGTAAAAGAAGGATAACATAATAATAGGGGGGACTTAGCAAATTACAGACAAAATGGTAGGAAATTATCAATGGTTATTGTTTTACATATTGTTATCTACAAAATAGTTTCTCAGGAAAACAAATAGACAAATAATAGTGAGTTAGAGACA